TTGCATTATGTTCATTACAGTTGGTAATTTTGCTTTGTAAATATCCTCTGACGGTGACAATTTATTTTGAGGTTAAAATTAATTGTATGTTTAACATAAATGTGATACACCTTAATTTGAATTGTTATTATGACAACGTTAACCTCAAAACACGTTGGCAAAATAATGAACACTCACAACTGAACTGAACAATTTTTATTTGCCGAGCGTGAACTAAAGAAGAATTGCAGTAGGGTGACTAATGACTACTTTCATGTTTTCTTGATGTCCGTCTTCCGCTTATTCTGGTCAACCAGGTTGGTACGAGCTTAATGGTCGCATTATTTTGAAGTATAAACATAAAAAATCGTGATTAAGCATGTACTGATAATATATTTTTTTCGGTGGGTATCTACTTTTAAATATATTTAATATTGTCTCTACTTGTGTGGACTGGGCTTTACTTTAAGTTTAAGTTTAAAGGGTAAAAAAATAAATAAAATTGCCATAATTAATTTTTGTATTTTTCGAAAAAGCTGTATTTGTTCGACTGTACTTCAAAAGCAAGGGAATTTCTTACTTCTACAGAATGAAAAATAGCTCTTCCGTTTCCATCTGTCTGTCACCTGTCTGTCGTCTGTGTCGATATTTATTCGCCAAATAATGTTCGAAACTACTGGACTGATTGTAAGCTGATGGTAAAACGCTAACCAAAGTTTGATCATAGCCAGTAACAATGTGAAGGAGTCACCTCAAAATTTTGCATGGTAAACGATATTTAAATTTTATAAAATAATGTACTCATGTGCTTATAGTTTATGAATCCGCCTTGATTTTTTATCCTAAAGATTCAGATTTTCGCAAAAAACTCAAACTTTAACTCGACAATGTTATAAGTGGAGCGATGAGCAACAGCCGATTAATTTGGTTAGACCGTCGTGCTAATACTGTGGTCACTTTTTTCTTACATTGTGACTTGTATTATCTTTTTTTCTTAGAAGATGGATTTTTTTATTGTTCTTTTTTGAATCGAGATATAGAAATATTTTTTCGTTCCATAACGGTGGTTAATCATTAAAAAGATTTTTTTGAATACAAAATTTTCAAAAGAATACAGGAAACAACCCCTTGAAAAGACAAATAAAAAACTCGAAATTGTATAAAGAGTAAAGATGAGAAGAAGTTCAAAAATCTATACACACAAGGTTAAAAATATGGACACCTTGATACCCACTCAAATGGTTAATATTTTGCACATTTGCAAAAAAACTAATCTAAGGTTATTTAGACACAACTTCCCTCGACCCTGAAGATGGTACATCAAATCAGGCTTTTTCGAAAAATTATAAAATTTAATTTTGAGAATTTTATTTTTTTTTTATGAGAAGATTACGAGAGGTTAACAAATATATGTATGTAGTCTTAAAATTAAGTTTTTAGATTTAATCAATAAGACTCATTCATTAATTTTTTGAGTCACCTTGTATAAGCAATTCTAGAAAATATGAACACATATTTTGCAGATTTTGGACAGAATTTATTAAGCAAAATTTTAAGATGACGTCATCAACTTTTGGGCGGAGGGCGATAAAGTCATACATTTCAGAGCATTCGGTTTTGCATTTTCCAAATTCATTTTCAAAACGTTGTTATACAATGTTGATTTTTTTCCAAAAATCTGGATATTTAGGCTAAAAACTCAACACGGACTCATAAACGACAGATATAGGAGTATTTTATGAAATTCAAAACATGTGTACTATGTACAGTTTTGAGGTAATGTCATCATATTGTTGGTGGAGATGTTTAGACAAAGTTTAAAAGATCACTAATATCCAGTAGCAACTTTACTCATTAAGAATCTATTGTAAACTCTTGACTTAATTTTTAACAAATTAAATGCATAATAACAACTCTTTTAGGAAGAAAAAAAGTTGTAAACTAATGCAATTATTTTCACTAAGAATACATTACTAAATTTAATAGAACCAATGGTGTGAGAGGTTAAGTAAATCCCACATTTCTAATGCAACCTGAAGAAATTATGTTCACACGGTCACCAAAGTGATTTTTTCTTTCTTTTTGTTTCCACCTCGTACATTTCAGAATTTAATAGATAGGTGACGTGAGTCTTCGATAACTTCAGATATTTTCATAACACTAATAGTAACATAACGAATGTTCAGAAAATTCATCAAAACGCACAGATAAACACACGTGATTTATTAACCCATATTATTGTGTATAAATGACATTTGACATACATTTTATTATACGAAAAAGTCAGGTTAGATTATACCATTACTTATATTTGTCATAATATTTCCGTAAAATCAGAGCCAACTTGATGACTTTTTTTTATTGACCACCCGATACAACGGTTTATATTCAGTATCTAAATTTAATTGAGGTGAAAGCTAGACAGAAAATCATAAGACCTTGGACACTAATTTCATACTCCAAGTGTTTACAATTTTTTATTTTACATTACTCAGAAGAATTATTCGCTACCCAGCACTTTTAATTTATTTAATTCGGAGTAAGGACTCACCGTATTTATTAAACAGAAATATAAACAGACTGTATTTGATAAAATCGAGGTTTTACCGTATTCAGATTTATCTCGCTCTGAAAGCAAACAACTCTAATTTTACACCAAGTGTTGTATACTACATGTAAATTATAATGTTTCAACCTTTTTGGCCCGTGGGATCCGATGGTCATTAACGTAAGTTACAGATACCTGAAAAAGCAGTAAAGCACGGGAAAAGTTTCACTGGATTGTGAATCACACTGGAGTACCGGGGTAACTACGTAATGTGGGTGGCAGGCTTTATAAAAATAAATTCTTTAAAAATGAGACTAGAAAGTAAAAACGAAAGATTTTTCCTTTCAATAATCATTTTGATTTTGTTGTTAAAACACTGACTTTTTTTACTTGAAAACCAAAAATTTACAATAAGTTCCATCTTTGAACGAAATGCACCCTTATTTGTTGTAGGCTTAAAGCAGTTGACTTTTTCTTTTATTGTATTCATTACACTAAAACAAGACCTTTTAAACGTGACAAAACAAGAACGGTAAACTACAGAAAATCTCTTAATTGTGTAAAATTAATAAAAACTGTCTTTAGTAGCTTACTGAAAATCCACGTTTTACAAAAAATTTAAAAGAACGAACTAAAAATAGAAGTTAATTCTTGTGGCAAAATTATATGCGCTACCTGAAATTTCAAACGAACCCGCTAAAGGTATGTTAAATTTACTCCACAGAAAGTTCAGGGAATTTTATTAGAAACGTTATAAAGAATTCGCTACTTAACGAAAAATATTGTTTTCTTCAAGCTACACTGTACTTCGTACTTTATAATGCCTCAGTTGTCAGAAAAATGTTGCATCTAAAATTACCTCAAAATTCAAAAAAAATTTACCTACATTAAGCTTCAGAAGTGTTTAATTTTAAAGAGAAAGTGTCACACTACGGGTGTTGGTAGAAACCTTAAAATTGTACGTTTTTATGACGTATGTTTATATCACTTAACCCTCTCGTTGGAGTTAGGTTATGGCCTACATTAAAGTGCTTGTGTTTGACCGCAAATAAAAATATTTTTCATTTGACTATTTAGCCCATTTTGAATAAATTCCGAGTCGTAGATAAAATTTTGAACGTTACACGTTGCCTAATGCATTATTATAACACTCATGTGATTACACAAATCGGCTAAGGCCTCGTTGTGAGATAACTTCGCACTCACATGGTAATAATGCTTTTATCTCACTTCTAAAGTAAATAGCTGTAATAATGCAGGAACATTCTTAATTAATTGCAAAACCTCTGGATAGCAGAATATGCAATCAAGTGAATATTGTTGTTGCGTCATTTAAGCTACAGGCGTGGAAATTCTTGTACATAATATTTTACAAACATATTAATGAAATTTGCAACCCTGTGGCCTTCTCTCAGACGTGTTTAATTAGGATTGGTGCAACAGATTACTTCATTTTTTATTATTTTGAGTAAATAACTAACTTTTTTGCAGTCGATTATAAACTATTAGAAATCAAATATCCATAAATTGCGTAATTTTAAAAAATCCTGTTTGTTCAACGTAGAAGTAGAGGAATTTTTGCTAAATTCTAAATGAGAAAAATGTTTACAAACCGCTTCGGTTGAAAAGCTCATGGAAATTACATCGCGTCTAAAGACAAGAAAAATTGCTTTCTATTTACCACCCGAATGCATTACTCACCCTCAAATGTACAACCGAATGTCTGTGGATTTTTCTCCACGTGACATGCTTATAATTAGATTTGTCTAGGGATTATTTACCGAAAACAACATTTGTGTGTCTCGAAGCCGCAGCATGCACATTTTCAGAAGGTGCAATCTTGTCCCAGGCAGTCTTTATAGATCGCATTTCCCCTACCCGGTTGTAAAAGTGCAGTTGGCACACTTTAGATCCAACATAAATAACGTCACCTAGACCCAGACCGTAACGTCACTCCAGCCAGAAATTTGGGTTGGAAAAGATTCAGGCCAGCTTTCGTTTAGATTCAATGGGCCTCTCACTACCGCGATAATTATCCCAGGTTAAGGACCCCTTCCTATTCAAATTTAGTTGGCCATAAACTAGACAATTATCTCCAGAATCGCGCAAATTGATCGAAAGTGAAGATGGATGGACACAGAGTCGTGGGATTTCTTGAGCGGCACCACCATTCGGTAATGGACCCGAAGGAGTCGAACCTGGGCTGTTAAAATCGCCGACGAAGGATACTCTCGCAGTCGAAGCGGGTGAGGCAAAAACGGCTTGTTTAAATGACAGGTGCCACAGTTCCGGTCCCGGATCGGGCGAGATCCGGAGCGTCGTCGATGGAAGTCGCAATTTCCTCGCGGGTAAACGGCGGCAAGAAGCGGGAAGTGCAGCCGAGGTCGGGCGGGCAAAAGCCGTGCAATTAGACGATAAAGGGAGATCCGGGCAATTAGGGCCCGGTGGATCGATGCAGCATGCAGGGGCTCACCTCAGCGGTCACATCTCGTCGCCTGGCCATGTCTCATCGTCAGCGGGCACATCACACACAGACTCCTGGGGCTCCTGCAAGGTGCAGCTGGCTCCATAGGCGTGGACTGTCCGGGTTGGCGCCTATGGAGCAGTCATTCCACCCCCACCCAAACACACCCCAGGACGCGCATGGCGTTCATTGATTTTAGACCAGACGCGAGCCCCGCTTTCATGGATGTTATTTTGATATAGTATCGTGTTATGGGGCTTCTGTTATTGCGATGCCTATTTAATTTCGCGACGATGACGCTGCCGATGCACCGACGACTGCTGCTGGAGGGGTGCGTTGCACGACCACCGCTTGTCCATTTTTACGCTTTTCTACCCCCGGAACTCGATGTGCTGCTTCGCTTTCATCCGACAGGCCCAAAGTGTCACTTTTAAATAGAATATTGTGATATTAGGACTAAAAGTGATACTTTGTGTGGCAAGCCTGGATGTTTGACTGACAACCGGAGCGAGTCAAACAATCCAGGCGAGCCACCAAAGACACTTTCACTCCGTGTAGCACATTTTATTTTTTACAGGCACGGAAAACACAGGAACGAATACAATTTTTAAATTATTTGGTATTTCGAAAACGATCAAAGCGCAGCGGGGTAGCTGGCACACTTACTGTGAATATTCGCACGTACTTTTACAAATTCTACAGAAAAATTGAGAAAGTTTGAGCGTAGGTGCATGTACTTAATTTGTGTTTATTTCTGGAAAGTTTATTAGCACTGTGCAATTATGTGAAAATCAGCTGAAATGCTATAAAATTCTGGAAATAATATATCACCTTGGTCATTGATTTCGAATCAGTCAGTCAGTGAAATTATTTAAGATGTGGTCTTTAACGATAACGAGGCAAATTATAAATATAAATGCCCATTATTTGAAGCGATTCCACCACTTGATGGCCTGTGTAAGTTAAGAGAATTATTCATATTTCATCCAACTCTCACCTCCACAAATGTTTAATTTTGCTAAAAGGAGACGATTGGTGCTAGTTTTCGTGTTCTCGACGCTGTAGTTTGAACAAAGTCGTTCAGGAACTAACGAAATATTTCTCCCTACAAATTTTTGTAAAATTTCTAGCGATTCCAGTACACATTTCACAAGCTGTTTTAATTCGTTTGAAATTAATCTAGAAGCTCGACCTGAGCCCTACAAAACAAACATGGTGTTTTTACTTCCATCGGAAGACTTGCTACTTTCATGTTTTCTCGACGTTATTTCCCCTAGAGTATGAAAAAAGTGGTCTCCCGTTTCCGTCTGTCTGTCGTCTGTCTGTCTGTCCTCTGCGTCGATTTTTATTAGTTGTAGACATCCAAATTTTCGCAAAAAATATTGAAATTGTATGATTAGGTATCTTTCATACTAGTATAAGCGGCACACTAATCAGGTGACTATCTCAGATGCTGACGGGTGGCTTATTTTTTATCTTAAACTGAAACTCTTTTTATCTATGTTTCCGCTCCATAATTACAAAGTCCATGTTTCCTTGCAAAAATGTAGCATTTTAACCATATTCAAAGTTGTTTTGAAAAAATGGCTATGAAAATTAAGAAAAAAAAGGGAAAATATAAGCTCCGCCCACCCACCCGTTCTCAATTCTGATGATTTGTTTATTCGACGTAAGTTGAGGGGCGGAGCTTAATTCCAAAATCCATATTTCTCTAGAAAATTTTACCATGTTGAAAATGTTTCAAGTTTCCTGTTATGATAAGATCACATATATTAAAAAAACAGGCTAAATATAAGCCCCACCCACCCATCCGCCCGATCTCAATTCTCATGATTTTTTTATTCGTCGTGAGCCAGGGGCCGGAGCCAAATTGCAAAATCCATATTTCCTAACAAAACTTTACCATTTTAAACGTCTTTTAAGTTTCTAAGAATAGACAAAATGATCATAATTAAGATGTGGTGGGTGGGCGAGGTTTATATTTTGCCTTTTTGTTTTAATATGGGTAGACTTTTTTTCACAACATGAAATATATTTAAAATAGAAAATTTGTATAAGGAAATATCGATTTTGCAATTAGACTCCGCTCCATAATTGCAAAATCCACGTTTCCTTGCAAAAATGTACCATTTTAACCATGTTCCAAGTTTCTTGTTGCAAAAAAATGGCTATGTAAATTAAGAAAAAACAGGGAAAATATAAGCCCCGCCCACCCACCCGATCGCAATTCTGATGATTTTTTTTATTCGACGTAAGTCGAAGGGCGGACCTTAACTGCAAAATCCATATTTCTCTAGAAAATGTTACCATCTTGAACATGTTTTAAGTTTCCTTAATCCAGAAGATTATATATATTAAAAAAAAGGCTAAATATAAGCCCCACCCACCCACCCTATCTCAGTTATGATGATTTTTTTTATTCGTCGTGAGCCGTGGGGCGGAGCCTAATTACAAAATCCATATTTCCTTACAAGAACTTGTCGTTTTTAATATTTTTTCGAAAATTTGAAAACACTGTAATGGTGCGCCCGCCTACATTTAGCAATAACAGGCCAGCTGAAGTTATATTAAAGTCTGAACATGACGTTCTAAACATCAATTTAAATACGTCTGATGGGCATAAAGATATTCGCTAGCTACTAACTGCTTGTAACGATTTTATACCATTGTGTGAAACGAAGTTCTCTCAAGACATTTTTTCCAATGAATTCATACCACAAAACTAGTCTAGCTCTAGTTTTTAGAAAAGATCAAAATTGTAATTTACTAAGAGGTTCAATCTCTTGACTATTAACAGTGAACACTTTTTAAATCTCCTTAGTAACGTTGAAGGAATTTATTCCAACCAAATGATCCTTATTGGGGACTTTAATGTTCTTTTCTTTGTATCAGATACTAATGAGAGACTCTCAGTATTATTACATAATTTTTCTAACCTTCTTAATTTTATTTCAATCTAGTACTGTCCGTAATATTTCCAGTCGAATCTTGATCTCATTTTTTCTAATTTAACTCGTGTTGATAAGTCAAACAATCCTTTAACTGTAGAACATGGTTTCCATCCAGGGCTGAAAATTCAAAGTCAAAAGTTAGTTCGATCTACCGACTGGTCGGTACTTCGCTGCATAAAAAATATCATTGATGCATGTTCTGGACTTCATGATTTACTGTAGAAATCATTTCCACCTTGGTTTAACCAGGATCCCATTAATTGGATTACTCAGAAAATCTACTTTAATAAAATATCTAAACCCTTTAAATCTCAATATTATCTAGATAAACTTAAACACATATACATCATAATCAAAATGAAATCTCTTCTGAACCGAAGAAATTTTGGTCATACATTTTAACTCGGGCATTCCAAGTCTCATATATCATCAAAATTCTGAATTACCCTCTCCAATTGAGATAGTCAATGTTTTTAGGACATTTTTTAATAGTGTTTATACTGCCAATTCAACATTCAGTTTCACTGATCGTAAATTACCTAACATTACTATATATTCAATTTAATATTAACATGATCACTTTTCCTAGATTTATGGAAAAAGACATTAGTTACGGCAATCTTTAAAAAAGGAGATCCATCTCACGTCGAGAATTACAGTCCCATATGCATACTATGTAATTTTGCAAAAGCCTTCGAGCCCATATTATATATACAAAAAAATCTATTCAAATATAAAAAACTTTGTAACACCTTTTCAGCACGACTTTATTGAGAAAAAAAATCACTATTACTAACCTCACTACTTTCCTTCCAAATCGTTTCTGTGGCAATTGATCATAAATATCAAGTAGATGTTGACTGATTTTTGCAAAGTCTTTGAACAGATAGATCACCACATCTTATTAAAAAACTCCAACGTTTCGGTTTTACTCAATCCTTGCTACCAACTCAGATGAAATCATACCTTCTGAGAAGAGAATTAATTGTTAAACATCGCAGTTTCATATCTAATTCTTTTTCACCCGGGTTCAGTGTACCGCAAGGTTCCAACTTAGGACCATTATTACATTCAAGGTACTCTTTGATGATGACCTGAAGCTTTAACTAACTTAAACTAATTTCATGGGGAATCCATAATGAATTGGTTATTTTTAGATAAAGTAAAATCTAAGAACGAACACATTAATTTTAATTATTCTCTTGAAGGTGAATTTAAGCCCTTCTGGAAACCCTCGAAGATCTAAATGTTACTTTCCACCAAGATTATCATTTTACTAACCATATTTCTGAATGTGGATTTATTTTTCGAAACTGCCAGTAGTTTCCCAATGTACACTCATTACTCGTTTACTAAAACTAGTTAAAAAGTGTAAATTTTCCAGATATATCAATAGGGCCGAAATTTGCTATAGAACTACTTCTTGGATATTGAATACAGGCGTCTCGTTCCCAGTTATTTCGTCCCTAGCTCTACTGTCTTCGAGTTTTTTCTAACTGACTGTGATATTTTCTTTGGAACTGTTTTTTCTTGTACTTTATTTTTCTGAAGCACGTGATCATTGCACCGTTAACAAAAAATTACACTCTGCAATCATGACACAAATTATAATCCTGCATTAAGAATATGTGTCAAAGATGAAAAAATCAGTACCTCTATGCGTTTAGGAGTACATTAAAAAGAACTCAATAATGCCAATTTTTTTTCAGTATATCTGTGAAAACTGACATGACAAAAAATGCTCTATGATTAAAAAACTAGCCCCACCCACCCGCGCTCTCTTTTCTTAGAAGGTATGTCATTTGCCAAAATTGGTCTTATTTTAGCAGGAACTAGCCCCGCCTACCCGCCCTTTCTTTTCTTAGAGGGTATCTCATTTGGCAAAATTAGTCTTACTCGTATCTTAGCAGATGCTAGCCCCACCCACCCATCCTCGTTTTTCTTGGAGGGTATATCATTTGCCAAAATCAGTTTTATCTTAGCTGGTACTAGCCCCACCCACCCGCCCTCTTTTTTCTTACAGAGTATCTCATTTGCCAAAATCAGTCTTATCTTACCAAGTACTCATCCCGCCCACCCACCGTCTCTTATCTTCGAGGGTATGTCATTCGCCAAAATCAGTTTTATCTTACCAAGTACTCATCCCGC